ACCTGTAAATCTCTATTTTTATTCTTCCAATTTTATTTACTTATTTATCTAATTTTGGTTCCCTTTTTCTTTTCTTTCTCCACATTCCTTTATGTCTATTATTTCATATTATATCCTTTTTCCTTTTCTTTCAATCTCTCCTGTAGATTTTGTAGAAGTATATTCACATTTTCATTTATTATATATTACACTACAACAATTGTTAGCATCTATTTACTTCAGTTTAGGATCTTGTTACTCAGCTTACTTTGTTCATATTTTATTGTACTTACTGTTTATAATTTTAATAAGTTTATTCACATTGTTTATAAATTATGTCTAAATATTATGGAACTGCCATAATTATTTATCTTTTTGTATCTTGTCTGTTCTAGCCCTGATGAAGATCTGCAAAGTTGGGTCAAAATGTCGGCTTTCAATAAAATAGTTTTACCACTATTTAGCCTATTTATGACCGCAACTCCGGACCATCTCCTTCCTTTATAATGCAACGGTCAACTATTAAATTTTCAATATCTTCTTTAAGTGTTTTTTTATTATTTCATTTTGATCTTTTATATGTATATATCTTCTTTAAGTGTTTTTTTATTTGAGAAAAGACTTTGAGCCTTAAAATTTGTTTAACTACAGCTTTGAACTCTCAAATAAATGTGGAATAACTGGTAAAAAAAATTATAAAAATCAATAATGTTGAGCAACGTGGTCTGGGTGATTTCATAGAGATTGATCCACAAGTGTTTATGTGTAAAAATAAAATACAGAATAGCAACTACTCTTATCAGAATGTTTTAGAATTAATATAGAAGAGAGAACCACAATATATTCTGATTGTTGGAAAGGATACAACACCCAACAACTAAATGAAGCAAACTACAATAATTTCTAGGTGAATCACCAGTATAAGTTTGTTGATCCTTCAAGTGGGGTCCATACTTAACACATAAAAAGATTATGAGGCTCAGCTAATTGGAGAAATAAAAAACATCGAGAAACTTCGAGGCTACACCTGGATTCCTATTTATGTGAATTTTCGTGGCAGTGGGCCCACAGAGAAGAGAAGCTATTTTGTCTCCCAAAATAAATAAAATGTAAAATAAAAGTGTTTTATATGTAAATATGTTGTATATATAAAGTATATATATATATATATATATATATATATATATATATATATTTTTTTTTTTTTAATATACACCTTTATTGAAAGTGGGTAAAAAGTGGGTAAATAAATGTTGAACAGTTAAAAGACAAGCTAATCTAGTTCTACTAGTTCAGGGAAAAGAAAAAGGCTGCTCTTTAGTTTCCCCTGAAAGGAAAATCCCAAAGAGGAGAGGGGACAAAGGATTTTAATTTGGCAAGCAGTTGGTGTTAGTTGGGAGAAGGAATCCTGGCTCCAGTGGGTAAAACCCAATAATAGTATTACATCCTTGGAAGTTCTTGTTTGGCAGAGAGACTTATTGTTTGGAGTTACAACAGAGAGGATCTCCCAGAGAGCTTGAGTTAAGTCAAAGAAAGTGCCACCAGTTTGGAAGATGTGTTTGGCAGAATATAGGAAAATGTTAGAAGACAAATGAATTCAGTACAACAAAAGAAGAAGTAGTATATATATATAGAAAAAAGGTTAGCTTGCAAATCCAAACTTGACTTCATTTTAAAATCAGTGTTTAATTTTAATGTAAATAATAATAGTTTGTCTGAGTGTTTAGATCTGATTTTCAGTAACCCACACCTTAGATAAAATAATTGTAAATTACAGTTTATTATATTAATACTCTTATAATTTTTATAATTTTGTTTATTATTTAATAAGCTCTTATTTATTTTCGACTTAGCTCTTATGAATACTTATTTTAAAAATATTACAAAAATTAGTTATTTACAAAAGCAGTAATTACAAAAGGAAATAATAAATAGCTTCAAAATGAAATACACTGACAGGCAAAAAATTCCACCCATTTGATTTTTCCATGTTATCATCTAAAAATATTTCTGTAAAGTTGTATTTGTATATAATACATGGTATTTGTTGATAATACTTGGTATTTATGGAATTTTATAATCTTTTTTACCTTTAATAATCAAAATGTGATTGGGTAAGAAAGATTAGAGAAAAAAAAATTGAAAAACGAACCATTATTATTCTAAATGAAATTAATTACATCATCGTTTAGTAACGCGTGTTTCCTCCTCTTGCCTTCACTACTTCTTGAAGACGCCTCGGCATACTTTCCACCAGTCGGGAAATGTCCTTTTGCTGGAGGATAGCCCATTCCTCCCGAAGAGCCCTTTCAAGGTCCTGCAGTGCATCAGGAAGTGTTGCACGCGCTCTTATTCGTCTTCCGAGGTCATCCCATAAATGCTCAATGGGGTTCAAATCTGGAGAACGTGCTGGCCAGGCTAAAACCTCAATATTTTTCTGTAGAAGGAACGTCTGCACTATGCGGGCGTGCATTATCGTGCATTAGAATAGAACGATTGCCGATTTCGTTGAGGATAGGGAACACATGAGGTTTCAAAATATTATCTACATAGGGAATGGCCGTCAAAGACCCTCCACGAACAACAACCAATTCTGTGCGGCGCTCCATTGAAATCCCAGCCCACACCATTAAGGAACCACGTTGGAAAGGTTGGCTCTGGGAAAAATTACAGGCTGCATATCTTTCGTTTCTTCTTCTCCACACCCTTTTACGCCTGTCTGGAGATCGAAGAGCGAATCTTGACTCATCTGTAAAAAGTACAGTACTCCATTCGTCCATAGTCCAATGACTGTGTTCTCGAGCAAAAGCCAGCCGTGTTACTCTGTGAGTTCTGATCAACTCTGGTCCTCTTACTGGACGAAAAGCCATTAATCCATACTCATTTAATCTTCTCCGAGCGGTACGTTCAGAAATTTGCACACATTGAACTTCTTCGAGCTTGAATCGCTTGAACAACGGTAAGGTGCCGGTTTCATAAAATTATCAAAGTCAAAAACTGGTCATCCAGTGGTTCTGTTACCCTAGGCCGTCCAGAACCGGGCCTTCTATTGTAAGAACCAGTTTCTTGAAACGCCTGACGGCGTCTCGTAAAGTTTCATATGGAACTCCGATGGCATTAGCTGCATATCTAATGGAACGTCCATCATCAATAAGTGCCAGACCATGTGCAACATCCTCAGCACTAAGAGGCATTTTTAAACTTAATATTGAAAAAATTAAAAGCCGGAGACTAAGAAATGTGCTGCAAGAAACGGCACTGAACTAATGATACTGAATAAACATTTTGATTTCATAGAAAGTAAACATTGGAATCTAGAATCATTTCATTGAATTAAGGATTAAGGGTTATTGTCCTCTATATTAACATTCGTAATTGAAAACAAACAAAAAGATTACCTATTTATTCATTAAAAACAATAGACCAATCCAAAGCAGAAATATTTTTAGATGAAAACATGAAAAAATCAACTGGGTGGAATTTTTTGCCTGTCAGTGTACATAGATTCACTGGGCAACAAACAGGTTGCGCTACCAAAATTATTAATAATTATTAGAACAAACAATGACTTGCATTAATGTATGAAATAGTTTATCAGAACAACACCTAGAGGGCACCACGCGCATCCTCCAAAACACCATACTAGTTATTTACTATTCAACCTTTGACAGAGAAGGACCTCTTGTCCGTTAGCTCTAATACATCGTACCTTTTAATCTTTATCGCTAGTTAAATGTTATTATTGTTTTTACAATTTCAAATTAAATCACAACTAAAATTAATAAAAGTTAATAATAAATTGAATTTATAAATATGTCACATATAAATGCGTCTTCACAAAGTTCACAAATAATAAAAGAACAGAAGTCATGATCATGTTCTGTTCTTTATATATATATAGTTGTGGACACACTTATAATCTTGTTAGTTAAAAAAAAAAATTTAAAAACAAGTTTTAAAATTTTTTTTAAATTGGAGAGCATCCGAATGTAAATAAGCGATCACATTCAGTATTTTATTATATTAAAATTAATTATATTATATTAATGTTCAATTAATCACATTCAATAAATACGTTGGAGTTAGTAATACTGTGGAGAGGAGAACCCAACCCCCCACTCTACCTTACAAGACAAGTCGTCTGTCATTTCCTGAGAGCGCTGCAGGTAACACTTCTCTACAGTTATTAGAAAAGTATAGACCGTATGAAGACCACCTTAAGTTGAAGGAGCAACCTACGTTTTGGAACTACCATTAAGACAGTCCAATTAAACAGTACCTTATACATCATTTTATACTAATATATTATATAAACATAAATTTTATTCACGAATGTTTATACTAAATGTTTTTACTAATAGATTATAAAACATAAATTTAAGTCATCTCCACAAGATAGGCCTGGCTGAGGATCCTAGATGTAAATTATGTGAACAAGCGGAAATGGATGCAGACCACCTAAACGAATGTCCTGCTTAGACGGATATAAAGAATCAAACATGTGTAAATGATTATATATAAAAATCAAACTTATATTGGTCAATAAGATGATGGATGGTCGAATGACCAATGACAATGGAATAGGAAAAAAAAAAAATATTTATTCATAAATGTTTTATTTATTAAATATAATATTAAGTGTATCAATGTCATTTATTTGATCCTTAGCATTCACAGTCCATGAACCAATTAAGTCCTCAGCATCCAGTAAATTTACAGTAATAAATAAAATTTTAATTTTAATTTAAATTCAATTCACATATTTAAACTAAATAAGAACAATACATATATTTACGATAATCTGTATTTAGATAATTTATTTCTGAATTAAAATTTTTCTATTTAAAAAAAAATTAAAAAAAAGCAATGCATTACTTCAAAGATTGACTAAAACCACCCACTCAATGCAACTCCAACATATTATTCTCCAAAGGGCCAGTAAAATACTTAATTATTTTTTTGCTATTTTTTCTATGAAATAAAAAATATTATTATATTAATAAATATGTTTTAAATTGTAGGTTAGAAGAATTAAAACAATCAGTAGAGACAAGCAAGAAATCTTGGAAAGCCTATTATGACTCCGTGAACCCTCATGAGTTGCCTCCACCTCCACCCTTTTCAAAATTAAGTGGTTTTTCTAGACTTACTGTTTTACGTTGCTTAAGACCAGATAAACTAGTTCCTGCAGTTCAGGTATATTCAAGAATTTGTTTTATAATTATGAACCATTGTTGATTTAAACTAATCTGATTATGTTATTAACCCATGCTGTTATCATTGCATAGTAGATACAACCACTTTCAATTTATTTAACAATAAATTTAAATTGTATCCTTAGTTGAGATATTGTTGATTGTAGATGAATTTATATTTATAGCTTTTCATGGACAAAATTGTTTGAAATAGGTTAAACTTTGTGTAAAAAATGTGACGTTTTCCCTCATGATTATGATGATTATGTCATCATTTTCCCTCATGATGATTATGTTATTAACCCATGCTGTTATCATTGCATAGTAGATACAACCACTTTCAATTTATTTAACAATAAATTTAAATTGTATCCTTGGTTGAGATATTGTTGATTGTAGATGAATTTATATTTATAGCTTTTCATGGACAAAATTGTTTGAAATAGGTTAAACTTTGTGTAAAAAATGTGACATTTTCCCTCATGAGCTCCAATGATGTAGTCGTACATTTTCCAGTATGGGAATGCTAGCAATTTTTGGCTATGGTCATTTCATGTTGTAGAACAGTTAAAAATATGAATCTAAAGGGTTGATAGCTTTACATCTTCTGGTTAATTAAAAATATTGCTGCTATTTAATCTACATTTAAATCTCTCCTTTTTAAGCACCTACTTCTTTCCCAACCCGATTGATCATGAAAAGTAGATAAGAGAACTTTTTAAGTTCCCCCAAAAATGATTTTGTTTTATTTTTCTTCCGATATTTTTATTTTAATGAGCATTGTAAATATTTTATTTAATTTTATAGCCACACAGGCATTTTCTCTGTATGTATAATTTGTTCTAAAGGGACTAAAGTCCCAGGATAATAAAAATCTATTTTCATTTTCATTTTCATTTTATCAAAAGCTTCTCTGACTTCACTTTTACATGTGTTTTTAGGTGTTTCTCTTAGCCTTTTTCCATTGTACTTGTTTCTGGCTATTCTTTTCATGGACATGGTCATACCAACATAGCCTATTTTCTTTTATTATGTCTTCAGCTGGTTTTACTCCTAAATTTTCCTCTTATGTTGTGTTTCTAATTTTGCCCCTTCTTGTTTTCCTACATTTTCATTGCTTGGAATCAGCTTCTGTATTCTAGTCCAAGATTCTCTGGTGTAGGTCAGTATAAAGGACGGCGGGATTGGATGACTTGGAAGAGGAAGGATACCAGAAAATACTTACGATGGTAGGAAGGATAAAGTCACTTTAACTATTCGTAAAAACGGGAAACAGAGACGTCCCTTGGGATCCCGAAGATGAATCGTTCAATGTACTATACAGCAATAATCAAAGTGGGGAAATATTAAGGCAGTGACTATAGATTTCAAATGGAAATAGATGAAGGAGGTCTCCTTCACTTCAAATTCTCTATTCGTTCCCGCACTACCCATTCCCGATCTTCAGATTTATATATCCCAACAAACAACTGCTTTTGACCGATTGTTCATTATCTTATCCTCATCCCGATGGAACTCCATCCCTTCCTACATCCCCAATACCCAATTGGATCCTTTGTACTCCCTCCCTAACTTTAAATCCCACTTGTCCAATAATTTCTTATCCATCCAGTTCCCATAAAATTGTAAATAGATATTACTATTACTATAAATGTCTATTTAAATTATTAGATCATTCTTAATTATTTTTATTTCAAGTTGTCTCAATTTTTTATTTTATTAATTTATTTAAATTAGAAAGTAACCTATAATTTTTTATTATGACTATTTATTTAATTTGATTATTTTTATTTATCTCTGAGACTCCACATTTCTATATTTTTATGTTATTCTAAAGGAACTCATCCCAGACTAAATTAAGTATTATTATTATTATCTTTATTTTTCTCACATTTGTGGATTTGAAACTGAAGGTGGGGACAAGTCCAACCACCTACAGGTATACATTTTTTTTCAAATATTTAAATATTTTCTGACTATTCTGGCTGTGTCCAAGATGATCGCTTGCTGAGCATCTCTAAGCACACCAAGGAGCAACTCCATGCCAATGGGTATTTGCAACCGTTGTCTTTGGAATCAGACCATATGTTGATATCACAATTGGCATCACATTATTGTTCCTCTGCAGAAATTCTGTACCAGCAAGAACTCCAAATCCAGCTCTGATCCAAATCAGCACAGTCAATATTTATCAGATGTGTCTATTGAGGATGGAGGCTTCATTCAATTGCTTGTAAAATGTAGTATCTTGCTTTTTTATTGGACAGCCTTTCATTTTCTGACACACTCTGAATCAGAGTTTTCAACGGATACACATGTTTTGAGGTTCCCTGAGTCTCTTAATTCTGAAAAATCATCATGTAAACTTTTAGAAAATTTCCATTTTAGTAAACCTTGCAATAGAACATAACAGTTTAATAACTAATAATCGTACAATCCATAATCAACCATTGATATAATAAATAGGATTTTGTTATAATTTCATTAATCATGAATGGTATTAATAATTTGTTTGCTGTATGCATTAAACGTTGGATCGGTTAAAAATGCACCAAAAAGTATATAATAGCCCAAAATTGACAGAAAATAATTTCTATTTAAAGTAGAGTGGTAAGTAAAAGTTGTGTTTTGCGTACACCAGATTTTTAAATATAGGTATGATGATAACAGACACTTCCCAATCTCTCGCAACTTATTTGTTCTTCCATATTAAGTTTAGAAGGTGTTGGAGTATTTTTTTTTTTTTCTTTTTTTTTTTTGTATTGTACAAAATTTAATTTTATATTTTTGAAAAAAAAAATGTATATTTTGTACAAAAAAACTGTGAGGGTTCATGTGCCAATAAAATCCTTTATATTACTAACAACTACAAAAAAAAAATTTTTCTTAGTAAATATTTTATTTTTAAATACTTAATGTGTTTATTTAATTTATTTTATGTATCAAAATGTATGCATTAATGAGTAAAATGCATTAATTCATTTTTATATGTGCTTTTAGATGTTCATATGTGACAGATTGGGTCAAAAATATATTGAGCCTCCACCATTTAATTTAAAGGAAGCATATCTTGATTCAAATTGCTGTTCACCATTGGTGTTTATACTTTCTGCTGGTGCAGATCCAATGGCAAGCCTATTCAAATTTGCTGATGACATGGGTTTATCTAGAGCATCTTTGATGACCTTATCTCTTGGACAGGGACAAGTAAGGTCTATTTTAACTAATTTTATGTCCGTTAAACAATATCTTTTTATTTTAAGATACCTATTATTACCATAGTGATTTCTGGAATTAAGTTCCCTACTATAAAATATTATAATGTATTCTTGTTTTTCTCTATCCTCTTTATAATTGTTAGATAATTTTTTTATGGAGAATATGTTGTTTTTTTTACTGTAAATGATTTTTCGATAGCATGGGAGTTAGGGATATTTACACTCGTAAGTTGAAGTTAATCTTAAAACTAAACTCCAGGTGTGGATAAACTTTTTGAGAGTGTCTATTGCCATTGGGACTTCGGGGAGCTACTTCTTAAGTGACATTTTGTGGAAAAAATAAGTACATATGAAATTTTGGAATGGTTAAATACACCTAAAACGAATTGGACTCATTTGTTTTTTTTTTTTTCTTCAGTTGTCTTAATGAAAGATGTTGAGGCCTGTAAGAAAAGAGAATAAAAAATAACAAATTCACTTCTGACCAACACAACTAACTTATTCTAACAAACATAAATATTGAAAAGTCCTATACGTAAGTAGTAGGCTTAACCTTCCTCTTCGCTTGACAAACAGTAGAGTAGTGCCTCTTTCACATTGTTACGACCTCTCCTGCTCACGTCACAACCTCAATTTCCCCTTGCCGGATACCATTCTAAGCTCCTTTGTTCCTTTTATTCTTTTTTTTTTTCTAATACATTGTCTATGCATGCACAATTAACAATGTCCATACAACTTGTTCACATCATAATTGAGTCTAATACATTCTGCATTCAATCCATCCCTATTCCATTGCTAATCATTTCTTCACTTAATATCACTTAAGAAACAGCCTGACATCATCTCCTCTTGGTGGGCACCTTTCTGTGACCACAAGACTTCAATATTTATAAAGTATTAATTTTATGGGTGATAAATAGTCATGATGCAGTCATTTTTAAGATTTTTATTGGTGCCAACATTTCAACCCAAGCATGTGAGTCATCATCAGGGCGTTTTTCGAGTACTGAAGGTGTTCAAATACTCTTTTACTCTCTGAATATTTGAACACCTTCAGTGTTTGAAACACGTCCTGATGTAACCCACATACTTAGGTTAAATAAAAACTAAAGGACTGTATCCTGTTTAGTCTTTTCCTCCACTTTTCGCAGGTATCGCATCTCTAGAGCCTGGATCTGGCTCCTGTGTTTTGAAGTAAGTGTCCAGGACTTTGAAGAATACATCAGTATAGGAAGGAATACTGATCTATAGACCGTCATCTTCGTTTCCTTAGTCACCTCTTTTCGGTTCAGAAAGCCTTTCCTAACCGAGCCAAACATTCTTCCAGCAGCTCCTATTCTCTGTCTTATCTCCTCGTCAATATATCCATTTTCATTGAGTTGAGCACCTAAGTATTTGAAACTGTTCACCTGCTCCAAAATCTCACCGTTGACCCTCATTAACCTCATCACCCTGTGAGGTTTTCTTCCAATGCGCATGCATTTCGTCTTCTCAGAGTTTATTTTCATACTGATTTTTTTAAAATCTTCCTTTAGGATATTAATATTGTTCTGAAGGTCACGGTCATTCTGGGCCAATATGACGAGGTCATCCGCAAACGCCAGCAGAGAGTTTAGAGTAGGCTGCATATCTCTGTGACCCAACTGAAAACTTCGCATCTTCTGTTTTGCTTTTCTCAGCACCAGATCGAGAACCAGTACGAAAAGAAGTGGGCTCAGGCTACAAACCTGTCGTATGCCCAGTGTTGTTTTGAACTCTCGAGAGGTATGGTTTCTTGTTCTAACAAGATTCCTCGTATTTCCGTATAAACTGCTTACGGCCCTTATAAGTCCATTATTTACACCTTTTTCCTCTAGAGCCTCAATTATATCCTTTTTCCTAATCCGGTCAAAGGCTTTGCAGAGATCTACAAAGCACACTGAGATTTCCTTTCCCCTCTCGACAATCTTCTCTTTGATTTGTCGCATAGTGAAAACTAGATGCTGTGTGCTTCTTTGACTCCTGAATCCGTACTGCTTCTCTCCAATCTTGGATTCTACGGTGCTTCTGACCCTTGCCTCTAGGATTTTTGAGTATATTTTACTGGGAACGCTAAGTAGCGAAATACCTCGGTGATTGTTGCAGTCCCTTTTGTCTCCCTTCTTATATATTGGCACTCTAACTGCGACTTCCCAATCCTTCAGGATCCTCTTCTATTTCCAGGCCAGATTCACAAGATGGAGAAACATTTCCTGGCCTTTACTTCCCATAAACCTCATCATTTCCGGAGTGATTCCGTCCAGTCCCCCCGACTTGCTGAGTTTTATCTTGGCAATGGATTTCAGCAATTCTTCTTCATCAATGTAGTCGTCCTCTTCTAAGGAATCCTCCTCTACAACCTGGATCTCGTTTAGGTTCCAATCTGTTCCTTCTAGCAGCTCTTTAAAATACTCTCTCCACCTCTCCATTATCTCATCATCCCGCCAGACAATGTTCCTCTCTCTGCTCCTAATTCCTTTCAATGTAGTGGGTCTCTCCTCGCGCATTTCTTTGATTGCTTTGAAGGTTAGTTTTTGGTTTTCTTTTGCATTTTCTTCAAGTTTGTGCCCCAGATCTGCCCACGATTTCCTCTTGGTTAGAAGTACTTTACTTTTTGTTTCATTTCTCTTTTCTTTGTACTTTTGGTGAGCAATGGGTGTTCTTTGGCTCATGAAGTCTTTCCAAGCTGGTTTCTTCACCTTAACAGCTCTCTTTACATCCTCTGTTGTAAATAACCTACTGAAAGTTAAATGTAAATGATTCGTTTTGGCGGGAATAGCGCACAGCCTTCCGCTTTTATATCGGGGTTTAGGGTTATTTACACTCGTGAATTATTAAAACAAAACCCCGGCACTGGATATCGACTTTTTGAGGGTGTTTAACTGTGATTGGAAATTCGGGGATCTATTACCTTTTGTGACACTGTGTGAGAAGAAACAATAAGAATATATATATTTGAAATGTGGGACTTAGTAAATACACTTTAAATGAATTGACTCACCTGGTTTATTCTTCAATTGTGAGGCCTATAGAACAACTAAATAAAAGAACTATTCACTCCGGTATAATAAAATAATTTATTTTGACAACTGATATAAGTAAATATATTAAAATCTAATAACTGTTGGATTAATTTCTTAGTCTTCAATGTAGTAGGCCTCTCTCTCCTCTCTGCCCCATGACTTCCTCCCGCTTCCGTCCTTTTGCCTCAAGTGTCTGGCATCCTCTTCGCCATCTGTCGCTACCTGATCGGACCTTTTTTCTTCTTTTCGATTGTTTATCGATATGAGATTTTCCAATGAGCAATTTGTCCACTGCACAATTAAGTACAATTCACAGTGCAACCTCACATTCCTATATATTATATATTCCTTCTCATTCCCTCACACATTGTCATCTAAAGGAGTAAATACAGGGGGATGTCTACTACACTGTCCACCAAGCAGTTCGCTTGAAATTTGACCCAATGCTCTTCTGACCACAGACGAGTCTTGCGGCATCAAGAATGATATTTCTATATGCTGTCCAGCTCTCCTCAATATCATCGCTATCCCATGATTGGTAGGTATCTCGTGACATCCTTTCCACTTCCTCCTGATAGTATTGAGCCATTTCATCCTCCTTCAGCCTGTAAGATTTAATCGTTTTGTTCTTACTACCTACACATCTGTTCCTCATTTTACTGTCATTCCAAACTTTGTCGAGCATTAACAGGTAGTGGTCACTGCCTATTTCGAAGCCCCTCTTCACTCTGGCATCTTGTACATTTCTGAATTCTTCCCTCTTAACCAGTATATAATTGATGATCGACCTTTCGTTCCTGCTGGGTTCCTCTCTAGTATATTTATGTTTTTGTTTATGAGGGAAGAAGGTGTTACTTACCACCAGGTCGTTTGCCACACATAAATTCAGAATTCGTTCTCCATTATCATTTAAATTGTTTTCACCGTGGGATCCCAACACTTTTGGCCATCTTCCACTATCCATTCTACCATTCAGATCTCCAAGAATTATAGGGTTATCCTCACAGTTGTCTATTTCTTTTTGTAGGGAATTGAAAAATGAATCCTTTTCATCTGCTCTTGCACAATTGTTTGGCCCATATGGAACTATCAAAGAGTGGATGTCTTTCCCCTCAGCAATGTTAAGGATCATAATTTGATCACTCACAAATTTCCAACTTCTGATCCCTGATCCAAGATCATTATGATTCATGATCTCTACACCGCTGGCTGCTCTCTCTCTCTTTCACTGACCCCCGAGTACAGAAGAGTGTAGTTCTGGATCTTCAGTTCGCCTTTTCCTTTCCTCTTCGTTTCGGTGATGCCAAGTATATAGAATTAATCATATTGAAATTTTATTTTCATTTTAAGATTTAATTTTTTATAGAACATTTTTTTGACGATGCGATAGATGGTTTTTCTGATATAAGCAAAATCCAGCAATAAACAGGAGGCAATTTTTTTTTTTTTTCAAAATTCGCCATAGTTGAAATTAGATATTTTGGTAACTAAGCAAGGTAGCGAAAAAATGTATAGAATCAATCATATTCCAAATTTTATCAGTTTTCATTTTGTATAGAACGTCTTTGTAGATACGATGGATAGTTTTCCTGATATAAGCGAAACCCCGAATCAAGTGACCTTCTAGGAGCCTCCTCCCCTCCCCCCCTCACACCTGGTTTATCTCCTAGGAGTGGGGACTTTTAGTATGTTTATTTCTTTGCTAGTCCAAACAATCCACGAAAGTCAAAAATTGTCTTTCCTGCCATTTTCTTCTGTAATCATTCATTGACTGGACTACTCAGCCATCTCGTCTCACAGTTGGTATCGTATGGATAATTTTCATTCTGTTTGTGGCAGTAAAAAAACTAAATTATCTATGTGGAACTACATTAAAATAAGAATTGTCCGTAGCTGAGTTTATTTTATAATAGATAAAAGTGCCAAGTATGAACCTTTACATACTCTCACTTTATGAAAATAAAGTGCTTAAAGTATTATTGAGTAGACAATAAAAATAAATTATTTAAAGTTTAGTTTTCTAAAATAAAAAAAAAACCTAATCAAGTTTAAAAAATGCTTCCTCCAGTACATTATATTTGTTTCTAAAAGACTGAACAGACTTTTTTTTACTCTAATCTTTCAATTTTCAATCATGTATGATAAATTAAATAGTTATAAATTATATATTTACTTATAGTTATAAACTATACATTTTTAACATTTGTGTCCCCTAACATATTGGTCAGGGAAAACTTTCATTAAATAGGGAAAAGTCAGGGAATTTTACTCTGATAATATGGTAGCCACCCTGTCTTTATGTTCTTAATGTAACTAAAGAATTTTCGGCTATCATTTTCTTTGAAATACTCTTTTCTCCAGTCTTTCTATCTCTAGTAACCTTTTCTTTTTTTGGAATAGTTTCTTTGCCAATTTTCGTTTTTCTTAATACAAATAGGTTCGTTTTTAGAGCCCTTTAATATTTTATTTTCTTGGATGAATTTTTTTCCGGCCTTAAACTAAGAATTCATAACTCCTAAAGATTTTCTTCAAATTTAACTTTAACCATTGGAAAACTGAATTAATGCTCTTAAAACTGAAACCGATAACTTTTGGATTTCATTTTTATCAAGCTAGAAATTAAGAAAAATTTCTAACTCTAGATACTGACCTCTGTGAACAAATTAGAACCAAAGATATAAAATAGAAACTGGTTAGAAGTTTTTTTTAGTTTCTAATTTAAAAAGGATTTAATTCTAAAAGTTACCTATATGGGCTGGAAGGTTAATAATCCAATTTTTCAATGTTTGTACTAACGTTGAATTTGGAGAAAATCCTGAGAAGTTATTGCTTTAGTCATAGGCTAGAAAAAAAATTCTTCAAGAAAATCAAGTATTGGACTTAGTAATTTTTGATTTCTATAACAATTCGTATTTAAGAGTTTCAAATAATTATAATAACGAATCTATCTTGCTTTTTCATAACAATAATTTATTTGGTCTACTTTACTTGAAGAACCTTTTGGTTTTTATAATTTATAATACATTACAACTCATTTAATACAATAGTCAATATTTTTCTTATTCCACTAAAAAAAGAAATCGATTGATGTACAATACCCTAAAAATCAGAATAAAGCAAACGCAAAAATAAATCACATATGTTGATAGAAATTGTATAAAATATTTTTTTTCTCAGCTCCTAGGGCCCATTAGAATGAATGCCAGAACATATGTCTAATATTTTTCAACGTAGTATCACCAAAAAAATTTAGTTGAAATCAGTGACCCACAAACTATATCCTTACCTTGTTTATTTACTTGAACTACTTGGTTCACTCCGTCCCTGGCGCCATCTAGAATTACACAGATGACAGTATATCTGTGAGATCCTCTTCTTCAATTTCAATACATTTTAAATACTAACAATCTGTATATTTAACTTCTGATCAATTTAAGGAAATCTACTTAAACAAAATTTATAATTAATTAGTTATCTAATTTTGCTAATTTTTTACTAGTAAAAAAAAATGTAAAAGGAACTAGGAATTTCTGCCTTCAACCTTTGAAATATTAATATATTATCAAACATTGTAACTAACCTTCCATTTGTGTGGGGTTCTTGGTTATTTACATTCATGAATTTTAATTTAAAATGGATAAACTTTTTGAGAGTGTTTACTGCTGTTGGGATTTCGGGAGCCTAATTATTTTTTTACATTGAGTGGCAAGAAATAACAAGTATATATATAAAATACTTTATACACAAAGAAAAAAAAAAATAATCGCAACATGAGCTCGAGATTAGGGAGCGATAGCAGATCCAAGATTTAATTATGGAGAGAAGAGATTTTTTTTTAATAATAGTAATTATTCTGAAAGAAAAATGAAAAAAAAAAACTATCTATATTAAATTATATTAAACTGGCCCTTTCCTTTTTGAGAGGAAAAGTTCCTCCTTGTTGAGCTGCCAAAGCAGTGTAAGTAACCTTCCTTTTGTACAGAGCTCTTGGTAAATAAACACCCGTGAATTTTAATTTAAAACAAAACCCTGGCTCTGGATAAACTTTGAGGGTGCTTAGTGCTGTTGGAAATTCGGAAATCTAATTCTTTTGTGACATTGAGTGGCAAAAAATAATAAGTATATATATGAAATGTTGGTATGATCAAATACTCTTCAGATGAGTTGACTCATCTGGTTTGTCGATCTTCAATTGTGAGATGTTGAGGCATAAAGAACAATTGAATAAAAAGGAACATCCACTTCTGAATAACAAAGCTAATTTGTTTTTACAAACTGTAAAAAATGAGTCACTTAAAAGTTCTATAACAGTTATTAGGCTTGATCTTCTTCTTAATCCAGCGTCCCTCTCCAGCTGCTGCCACCTGCTGGACACTTTACCAGGTTTCTTCATTTCTTTTCCTGCCCATATTTTGTCAATTAATTTACATCTAACACTTTTCACAAAACATCCTGGTCACTGTACAATTGAGTCCGATTCATAGTGCATTCATTCCATCCCTATACATTTTTTATCCTTCCCTCACTCTCACTCCTTGTCACTTAAAAGAATAGGTAGAGGTCATCTACTACAGGAGGGAAGCACCAACATGAAGGATTAACTAGAGAATAATATGATCATACTGTGTGGTCTGACCCCAGTCACTGTCCTGTACACTCTGAGCACAAACTAAGCACGTGCTCACTTTCACTTTAATATACTGACAACTTTCAAATCGAGTTTAGGGATGTAGATCCATTTGGTGACTGGTAAATTATAAGTATATACAACTGTATATATAATAATTAAAATATAATATGTGTGAAAGAAATGTAATATTTAGCATGTTTAAAAGAAAATATTATATGTCTTGAAGTCAATGAATACCATTCTTTATTAGTAAATTAGCGAATATTCTTCTTATTTGTAAATTATTATTTAATAAAATTCTATTATTTTTTTATAGTTTAACAGAAAAAATTCTTACTAATAATTGATTTCTAACAATATGCTCTGTGCCATATTTTCTTTCATTTTTACTTTCACTTACCTACATATATAATATTGTATGAGGGAAAGTACTGAATTGTGAATATTTTCGGATCGGAGTTTTCAATAGAAATACATGATTTGGTATACACATGATGGTCACCTGATTCCAAATTACTAAGTTCCACAAAACGGTCTGTTTTGTAAATTACAATGGGAAAATGGGGGGAAAAACAATTTTTAATTCAATATTTGTTTTCTAATCAATTCTGGATAGTTAAGTACTTTCCATTTAGATATTTTTTGTTTAACAGGGTCCTATTGCTGCTAATATGGTAGACAAAGGAATAGTGTCTGGACAATGGGTGGTTTTACAAAATTGCCACTTAGCAGAAAGTTGGATGAAACATCTAGATAAAATTTGCTCCGAAGTGATAGTACCTTCAAAAACTAATTCTCAATTTAGGATTTGGCTTACTAGCTATCCCTCTAGAGCATTTCCTATTTCTATATTGCAGAATGGTAATTATTTACTTTGTAGTAAATACATCTATTTATTATAAATATACAAAAATAACTTTACAAGAGTTTTCTCATCTTCAACCATTTTCAAAGTAAGCATATAATTACATTTATACTTCTTCTAGCAGACACTTTTCTGTAGTAGACTTTTTCCTATACTGGAGAAATGTATAATCTATAGAAATTTTCCTGTCATTTTATAGTATTAAAGGCTTTCGCATAACGGAACAAAACAGACTTAATCACTAGTGAATTCAGTATTTCATTTTTTTGGGGCTACCTTTTTTTTTTCTTGGAAATTCAAGTTTTGCTTTGTGTTTTTACCTTTTAATTTTATTTGACTAGCTAACTCCCTATCTTTTCATTCTAAGAAAAAGACATGGGAAAGAACATTAATTTTCTTCAAAATTATATTATATTACTATTTTATCTTAACCCTTCAAACTGCAATGACTATTACAGGAACAGTAATGCTTTTTGGGATACAATTTGTATATATTTTTCTTGACATGTGCTTACATATTATGTTAGGTCACAATACATATATTTTTCTTGACATGTGCAAGTAGATGAAGTACATATTGTGTTAGGTCATGTTTCCCTTTGAAAAGTTAACAAAACAGTTTCTTAACCAATTTATATTTATTTTACACAATGATTATTTCTCAGGTTGGGTTGAGACAACAAACACACATCATTTATAAATATAAAATCATACATTAATTATGATCATACATCATTAGGATCATTCCCTCCTATTTTTAACAGTAATTTACTTGAAATAAATCTAAATTGTTCAATAAACAATAGAGGTAATAATTATATTAATAGTGAGTGGCGGGATGATTCCTTTCGTATTCCTCTCCACCTATTGCTTTTTAAGAAATGTGACTTTATTATAAGTTTTTTTTTTTATCAGGGGGCTGATTTTTTTTTTTTATAGTGCAGTAATAGAGAAATTTTACTTGATCTGTACATCAGAGCCTGAAGTTTCAGGATTTTTTTTCTAAATCTCACTTATCTGTATTTTTCCAATTTGTATGAAGCGGATATTATTAAATACATAAGTTTTTCAAGTGCACTCACATTACTCACATATATTTTTTCTTTTAAACTTAAATAGATTTATATAAACATGTTGCCCATAAATTCTGGAGGGGAACTAAGAACTTAAGATTAAAACTGTAATCCGTACTACCAAACTTATTTTCGGTATATATAATTGAACTATGTTTTTTTATAAATAGAGTTAAAGTGCCCAGAATAATAGGGAAGCTTTCCCATCAAAACTCTTATATTAAGAGTATTCCTGTGTGTTCTGCAGAAGTCTGTAATTGAAAATTTATGGGGATTATAAATTTGTCACTATCAGGACAAATCCATTAAAAGAATTTTAATAAGTAACCAAGGTTTCAGTATGCATTGAGTTATTTCTGCGTGTGTGGGAAATTGTTGCTAATTAGGAAGTTTTGCAAAAATTTTGGTAACTAATCAGAAATCTTAATTACTAAAATTAGTAGATACCTTGTTATCCTACTTGATGATAACACTACACCAACTGGTGGTGCTACCGGTGCTTTGGAAATATTGCCATGTATGAGACAATATTTCACACCAATGCATAAGAAAATTGACTGTTTTCACCATTGGCCATCATTTATTTCATTAACTTATAACTGTCTCTCCATTATAACTAAACATTTGTCACAATAATATTCTGTTACTCAAGTAACATGAAAAATATTCTATATTTTTTTTTAATAGTTGACTTGTCTATTAATAAAAGCTGCCTAATTTTTCAGGTGTTAAAATGACAAATGAAGCTCCAAAAGGTTTAAGAGCAAATCTATACCGTTCTTATACATCTGATCCTATTTCTGATCCAAAGTTCTTCTCAGATTGTAAATTTATTTCGGAATGGCAAAAACTTCTCTTTTCTCTTTGCTTTTTCCATGCTGTTGTCCAAGAAAGAAGAAAATTTGGACCATTGGGCTGGAACATCCCCTATGAATTTAATGAATCAGATTTAAGAATTAGTGTGAAACAACTTCAGGTACATATATTGTGATAGCTAAAGATATTAAAATTAATTGGCACATGGCCGGCCAGTTAGTTTTTAAATTATTAATATTGTTTTATATATATATATAAAATAAGTTCTCTTTTTGTAATGGAAGGTTATTTCACACTTTAGGTGATTGGTATAGGTAGCAATTGCCATCACTGTAAAAACCTTTATAGCATAAATAATAATCATTTACTGTTTTAATTTGTAAATATGTTCTCAGAATTAACATAAGAGGAAAAATATACCTCTACTTTATTAGATGTTATTGTAAAACTGGTTGGGTGTAGAAGAGGGAGGAGGTACAGTTTTAGCACACCTCAATATGGGGAACCCTTGGTTGCAGCAATATCCGCACTGATGGAGCAAGACACTTCCTGCACCACTCACTATTTTATGAAGGGGGAGGGAGAGCTAGCCAGCCACTTCAATACTTTATGAAGGGGGACCATTCCTCCAATATTCTATGAAGGAGATCATACCCTCCTATTTTTAACAGTAATTTACTTGAAATAAATCTGAATTGTTCAATAAACAACAGAGGTAATAATTATATTAATAGTGAGCGGCGGGGTGGCCAAGAAGACTAAGACACTGCACCATGCATTACCTGGCAACCTTATAACCGAAATTTAGAGGAGAATATAATTACAATAATATTAAAAATAATTTGCATCCTGTTGCCAGAGAGAGCTTTTAACTCTGGCATTAATCACATACTCTCACACCCTGTTGTTCCTGACCCGGGTATACCCTGTATAACCTAAAACGCTAGAAAGAGGGGAAAAAAAAACAACTACTGATTACTGAACTACTCCTTTATGTATGGCTTTTTATTCCCCTCCCTTCTTCTTCCATTCATTGGAACACTGTTATAATGTTGCATTAATCTTTCTCCCTCTACATTATTTCGTAAGTGCTGGTGCATATGCTTGGTTGTGGCATGTGTTATAAATAAAATTGTTTGGCATGACTATTTTAGAACATCAATTATTTATCAGTTAATTGATTTTATATAATATTAAGTTCAGTCTTCCTCGAACAGTGGTAGTGTTAACATCGCGGTTTATCTGTTTGAAGTGGCGGTATCCTTTTAGTGCGAGGACAATAGGCTGTTGTGGACGGGCCCTACTTCTCAGAAGCCTACAGCTAGCTACATTCAGGCCAGATTTATCTATTTTATATCATCTTTAATTTATATTATTTTCTTATTACTTAAATTATCAACTAATATCACACCTATTTGTGATCATGGGGGAAAGTAGCGTGGGAACTGAGCCCCCTGATAAACCATTAAACTCACCGGTAGTACATAATGGAAAAAATCAACATAAATACTTGTGAACTTTAAAGGCCCCTTCATTGTTTTAGTTGGAAAATCGACTGATGAAAACATAGCATGCTTTCATGATATGAAAATTGGAAAAACTCTAGGCTTAAATAGCTCTCACGTTTTTTCTATTAAAAAGAAAAATAAACAACAAATTGAAGTTATTTAAAACTTATGAATATGCCAACCGATTTTTAGAAAATCAATTTCTAGAATCTAATAAACTAAAAGCATTTATACCGAACTCATACGTTTTAAAATACAGAATAATTAGAGACATACATCCATCTCTATCTGAAGAAGAAATTCTGATTGAAATTCAATCAACGGAAAAAATAGTCAAAATTCGCCGTTTCAATAGAAAAATTAATTCCGACAGTCCTACAATAAATTTTCCGCACTAGATTTTCCTCAATTATCGTTAAATAATGATTCTGCCGAAAATAATTTTTACCATTATAATACTGCCATTACAAGAAACCCAGGAAAAAAACAATTGTTAAAATACAATCCAGACAATTTGAAACGTCAGAGGCTGAACGACAACCCAATAGATTTTCAAAACACGAACCCCGTGGAACCTCCACGTAAAACACCAACAATAACCTCCCCTCTAATCACAGATAACCCCCATCGAGTTAGCACTGACTAAATATATTAAGATGTTAAATTCATTAATAAATAAAATTAAAACATTTGACAACGAACAGGAAACAGTGAATATAATAGGACAAACTTTTTACAATTTTGTCAAGGAAAACAATTCGATAATAAAATCAATTATAGAGTTACAAACAACTGCTGACATGTCTGTTGAATAAGCACCAAACCAAGCCCCTCGGATAATTCAGATTATTTTATCTACAATCTAACAAATAAATATAAATATTTATACAATTATATTCCAAGCATGGTTTTTAAACATGTATATCAATACTTCAGTTTTTTCCTATCACTACAAGTGATACATTTTATATTGAACTCAAATATAATTTTACAAGAGTTTAAAAATGCTATATTTGTAAATTATGTTAATATCTTTAGACTGACATGTCCTGCCTTCTGGTTATTACACGAGACGACAAAGACGTGTTGGTGGAACACTATTAACCCTAAAAATTATGTTTTCTTCTCATTAATTCATATTTACTTTATTTTTTTAGTTGGTTTTTCCCATAATTTTGACATGAATACTCCCATCGTACAGAAATACACGACTTCACTTAAGCCCTTGTACAATCTACAGTGTGATATTGTTTCTGTGATACTCATTTCTGCAATGATTTCAATAGCTCGACAATTAATAAAAAAAGACGGCCTGCTATTTCTTAACTTAACTCCTTATAATGTCAAACAGTAGAATTAATATGATAGATAAAAACATAAAAATTCTTCAACATAATTGTCAAAGTATAAATAATAAATTCTCAGAAATTATTAATTTTCTTAACATAAACAGCATCCTTATAGCTCTACTACAGGAAACATGGTTTGATAATAAACGGACATACCGTGCTCAAAATTACAACATAGTAAAAAGAAATAGACGAAACAGGTACGGAGGAGTGGGCATCTTTCTCCATACTTCTTTACTTTATGAAATTATAGACTTTCCAAATCTGGGAACAATTAAGGCAGTAGGGGTAAAACTTCTTAACTCAATACCTTCCATCATCATAGTTTCAGTGTATATCCCACCAGGCAACAGAAGGCGGCCATCACTAAGAAACCTCGAAAATCTTTTTGATCTGCACGTCAAATTTCCAAATTGCAGTGTGCTCTTGGGTGGAGATTTTAACACGCACTCCTCATTTTTTGGTGCTCAAGAATATGATACTCCCAGAGATGATTTAATTCTGGATTTACAAAACAGTCCGCTAATCCTATTAAATGAAACAGGAATAATCACTAAATTAGGCAACTCTCTATCAAGACCTTCCGTTATAGATCTAACATTTGTTACAGCCGATCTCTATCATAACCTCACCTGGGTTGTAAGTCCAGAAACGCTAGGGAGTGACCATTTACAAATAATAATCGTAGTAAACTACTGCAGAATCAAGAGGCAACACAAATTCAATTCTAAAAGAAATTTCAAAAGATAAATGAAAAAATATTTACAGATTACCTCCTGGAAATGGAGAAACCTAATATAAAATACAATATATCAGACTTGACTAACATTATTAACCAAGCAGGAGAATCAGCTATTCCTCGAAAGTGTTCGGAATACCATCCAAAATTTATCCCGAAGTGCTGATGGAATGAAGACATTCGCAAGTCGTATGGGGAAAAGAAGATAGCAATAAAATAATACTTAAAGAATATGACAATAGAAAACTGCAAAATCATTAGAACGAAAATAAATAAGACTAAATCACTTATTAAAAAGGCCAAAAGCGAGACTTGGAGAAACTACATCGAAAGCATCAACCCGAAACGAATTGGCTCTATGTGGAACAAAATTAAAACCTTACGTGGTAAACGAATTAACATGCAAAATATGGTGTTAAGTAACCGAACACATGTAATAGGCTTTCTCGAACAATTGTCGAACATCTTTGTGCCCAGACATCCATTGCTTCGCGGTTCTAATGTACACATTGTCCACCATTTAGATTCACCCTTCCAATTAACAGAGCTGGAAGCGGCATTGAAAGGGAAATTTGGATCAGCCCCCGGTATGGACGAAATGAATTACCAAATGATCAAACTCTTACCGGCTTCGATGAAACAGAGATTGCTTTCTGCTTATAATCAAATTTGGGAGGATGCCAAGGTCCCTCCTGACTGGCGAAATATACTCATATTCCAAATATTAAAGCCTGGTAAAGATGCACTTCAGATCACTTCGTACCGCCATATTGCTCTCATCTCATGCTTAGCAAAAGTATTCAACAAAATTGTCAAAACGAGATTAGAATGGTTTATAGAATCAACAAATATCTTGAGTCCTCTCTGTTTTGGTTTTAGGAAAAACAGGTCAACCACTGATGCAATCTTGATTCTAATCAATGATATCTACAAAGCTTTCAGAGAAAGAAAGATCCTTGTGGCATTGCCCATTGATATTGATAAAGCATATGACCATGTAAAAATACAAATCTTGCTATCTAAATTAAAAAATCTGCACATCCCTACGAAACTAACTCACTGGATAATAAATTACTTAATTCATCGAACATATTTTCTGGATACTTGGGAAGGTCGAGTATCTTTTGAAACCTACAGTGGTCTCCCTCAAGGAGATACTTTGAGTCCAACCCTCTTCAATCTTTACACGGAACACATCACCAACAATACAATTGACAAGTGTAAAATCATTCAATTTGCAAATGACTTTGTAATTTATACTGTAGCGAAATCTGCAGAAGAAGGGAAAGACATAATCAGCTCAGCACTGGACAACCTAACACAAACATTTTCAATAATAGACCTAAAAATTAATCCTAACAAATGCAGCATTACACCTTTTACTAGGAAAAGAACAATTAACTTCAAAGATTTTGAGATTTCAAATGAAAAATACACAATTAAAAGCGAATAACACTTTAAGTTTTTAGGCATAACATTAGACACTAAATTAAATTTCAAAACGCATATAAAAAATATTCACAGACAGTCGCTGCAAAACTTAAACTTAATCTTTAGCTGGAGTATCGTGGGGTTCTCACCCTCAAAACATGCTCACTCTCTACAAAACAATAGTAAGATCTAATTTTGATTATTGTTGTGTTGTATACAATCAAACTAAATCCCCCCTCATTAATAAGTTGAATACAACACAAAACTGTGCCATAAGGTTATGTTTGGGTGATTTTAAAACTTCTCCAGTAAACGCGCTTCAGGCCTCAGCCGGAGAGATGCCATTACACATCAGAAGAAGGTCATGTTTAACGAAAAAATACATCCTCAAAGTGTATTCCGACAATAATCATCCTGTAGGTAAAGAAATTAGAAGTGGAAACGTGTTCTGTCCCCAACTATCTTTCATTATTAACGAATTACAGGCTCTTAATTAAATCACTACACATTTCGGAAGCTCCTCTAGAATACACAACACCCATTCCCAAATCTTTAATTAATATTCACAGCTCCTCTAATTTAGTTGCTAAATTAGAGAAGAAAAGTTCATACCCACCAATTTATTTGAAACAATTAGCACTAAACACAATCACGGACCGCTACCCAAATTATCTACAAATTTATACAGACGCATCAAAAACAAGTAAACGAACTTCTGTAGCTGTGTATGATCCCTAAAAGAACCAGAAATTTTCACTATCAATACCAGTTGGTTTCAGTGTTTTCAGCGCCGAACTATATGCCATTCTTAACGCCATAATATACAGTGAAAACACATATATCAACCAAAAAATAGTTATCCTGACAGACTCAGCAACAGCATGTAAACACCTAAAATTAATCTACAAAAATAAAGCACTGACACACATTTCCTTTAAAATTATATCACTGATACACAACGCCAGCAACAATTACTTTTTCCAGCGGGTGCCGGGACACGTAGGAATATCAGGAAATGAAATGGCAGACAAAACGGCAAATCAAAACCAACTACATCGAATAAACGCGAAGGTCCCTTTACTGGATTTGATAAGAGTAGTGAGGGGGAAAATAATAAAAGACTGACAGCATTTCTACGACTGGGAATGTGCCTCGAAGGGTAAGGACCATCATGCAGTCCAACAGAAGATAGCACTGATTCCATGGTTTGCGACCCTTAAATCTCATCTCGACCACTCCAGTGCCTCCGCCTCCGCTTAGTAAAGCTGACCAGGCTTAGGATAAACCATGGTAGAACAAATAAATATCTTCATCTAATGGGTCTAGCTAAGAGTGGTCAATGCCCAACATGCCAATGCTTGGAGGATCCAAGACATTGCCTTCAAGTGCAAAAGGTTCGAAAAGCGAAGAAGAATTAGTTAAGGGTATCAAACTATGGATGATGGAGCTAACTTTCTTCGGTCGATGAACAAAGATAACGCCCGTGACTTGTTAAAGTTCATGAATGACATCAAAGCAATCATATAATAAAAGTCGGCACTTATTCTCAGTTAATTGTAATTCTAATTCATCTCAGTTTTTAACCATTAGTCTTGCTAGTTTCCATAATATCTAATATCTAATAATATAATATCTAATATCCAAGTCCCATATAAGTCACTTTCAGTTATCATCTAACTGTAAATAATTAATATAAATCCAGTGTAATTTCCGTCTAAAAACCGTAATTTCATCTCACTATGACAAATAAAATATTTTGCTGGCAAAATAGGACTTGCTTTTATAAGTCTTAAAGCCAAAAAAACAAAAAAAAAAAAAATAATATTAAGTTATGTTTAGGAGGTTAGATATGTAATTTTCAACTATTTTAATAGGTTGTTTTTTTAAACTGAAAAACAACCTCAAAACATTAAGAGATTATAAAATAAATAACCTATGGTAGATCTGATTTGCTAAACCTTATAAAACATTTAATATATTTTCAGATTGACTTTTCTTTAAAAAGTCTGTGGAATTCATTTTGGTTTCATAAATGATTGGTAGATACTAAGTATTTATAAATTAAAAATATAAATTTGATAAACTTAAAGTATCAATGAGATCTTGTTATAGATTTGGCAAGGAAATTTTATTTGATTGTTTCCATATCTTTTTAATTATATTATTGTTACCAACTTTTTCTTTCACTGAATTATTTTAGTAAATTTTGCTGTTCATTCTTTGTAGACATCTCATTGGTTATTGACAGTTAAATTATTGTATTTTATATTGACTTTTATTGAATAATAAATATTTACATTTTATTATACAATATTTTATTGCTCATATTTTTTTTATAGATGTTTCTAAATGAATATGATGACATTCCTTTTGATGCTCTTCTTTATTTAACGGGAGAATGTAACTATGGGGGAAGAGTTACAGATGACAAAGACAGAAGGCTACTAAATTCATTACTTTCCATTTATTATAATCAGAATGTGCTTAAAGTCGAAGGGTATTTCATTTTTCATATTCCTGTATTGTATTTTCTTAGAATAGTAAACAATTTGTAAATGTATAATTAATTGTATGTGTAAAATAAGGCTCTTTATGGATATCATAAATTTCTTTGACTTATTTATAACAAAGAAGTAAAAGTAGAGAAATAACAGCAATCCTTAACTGACAAAATACCAAACTTAAATATACCAACTGACACACTGCTTAAATATTATTCAATTTAACTCCGTGTTTTAACCACCTTTTCTGCAAAACATTTAAAATAAGAATAGGTACTTCTCCACTAGCAGACCGGGACTGACTGCTATCTGCCAATGTTTATAACCTGAACACTGATAATTTTGATAAGGCAGTGATAAGCTTTCTCATAATTTCTATCTTCGTATTATTATTGTATTATATTTGTGTTATTGAAAGTGTAAACAAAAACAAATGTAATAACAAAAAATAATGATTAATGAAGAGAGAAACACTTTATTTTCATAAAATATAAAATATAAAGGATTGCTGCCCAATTCCATTGGGTTGCTATACACACAGCATACTCTTCTATCCTTAAGACAATATATGAACTTATATATAAATATACAGAAGTATTAGTTAATATTAGTAAAACAGAAATATATATATATATACATTTTTATTATTTTATTTATCTTTATAATTTTTTTTTTTTTTTTTTCCTTTTTCCTTCTTCTCATTGTTCATGCTTTTTTTTTTTTTTTTATTTAACATTAAGTTTCCCTTTCTCTCACTTCTCTCTCTTTATCGCTATTGTTTTCAATTATTCACTAAATAAATAAATAAACAAATACATAAATTAAAACTCTCGGGCTAGCCATGCACGTGGTGGTGAATGATTCCCAGGGAGTCGAGGACTATATTTTCAGCCAACCTCGCTACGTCCTTAATGTCGACACCTAGTTCCTCGAGGAAGCTCCTTGTTCTTTTTGGGATAGTTCCGCGAGACCCAAACCAGAGGCCTCTCACGGTGAACTCTCTCTCTCCGAAGGTCTCACGGAATTTCTCTTTTAGGAAAGGGATACATTTATCGTACGTGTTCTTCTTTTCCCTTTCCACTTCACCCGCCTGATCGAGGTCATTGCTCTCAAAGCGGACAGTTGGATCCAAGATCAGCGCTGTCCTTCCTGTCTTGGGAAATGCGACGATATCAGCGTATCTCGTAGAGCCCTCACTATCGATGCAATATACCTCGTCAAAGCAGGTGAATTTTTTTTCCCTAAGGAGCCTCATCAATTCGAACTTGACCCGGTGGTGACGACGTGTTATGAGGAGGGAGTTGTTGGGGCATTTTCCCAGCACATGTGCTGGTGTTTCAGACTCTCTGCCGCATTTACGGCAGAGGGACCCAACTTCTCTGACCTGTCCGCTGACTCCTGGGACTCCACGCAGGGGTGCATAATTAATGTTTAGTTTTAGGGCATTCGACCATTCAGACCCAGAAAGTACTTGCTTTTCGTAGATGTATCTATTCGCTTTCGGGGTCTCTTTAAAATGGCGAACACCAATACCCTGCCACCTGCAGTTGGCCCATTCCTCAAATGCATTTTCTCGTAGCGACTGCCGTAGAGCTTTCACATTTCGATGACCCTGATCAACCCCCAATCTCTCGGCACATTCAGCAATTTCAGCCGAATAATCGAAGGTAGACTGAAAAAGGGCATCTGGTACATTGGACAGTCGCTGAGCAATGGACCAATGTTGAAGAGGAGCCTCCCATTGGCAGCGGATTAATCCCAATCCTCGGTATCTCCTGGGGGCATACAACATCGCTGTGGAAGTATTCGCAGGGAGTCCAATAATGGCCTTTACGCTCCTGCGAATCATAGTGTCGATGCCCTCCAGTATAGCAGGACGTAGCTTTGTTAGGGGCGCAGTTTGGAGAGGGTAAGTAAGACCCGGGAACAGATATTGATTGACAATGTTGAGTTTCTGCTCAGGTTTAAGTAAGCAAGAGGTTACCAGCTTGTTTAGATTATCATTCAATTTAGTCACCGAATCTTCGTTGAATTGCAGCTCTCCCGAGAATGTACATCCTAAATACTTAATCGTATCTCCATTCTTCAATGTTTGGATGTACTCACCATTCTCAAGGGAGAGCACCGTAGTTTCCAGCTCTCCTTTATTTAGAACGATGCCCATACTTTTTTGAGGATTTATAGCCAGACCAATTTCTTTAAATGTTCTTTGTATGCTGTCAATCACTCTTTCTGCAGCCCCCTTGTCACGCGCCGACACTGCCTGGTCATCCGCGAAACCTGTGAGGACCACACAATCTTGCTCATTCCTTAATTTGTATCCAAATTTCTTGGAAAAGTCCTCGTCACACAGGTCGCGGTAGAGATGATCGATGGCCAGGTTGAAGAGTGAAGACGACAGGGGGCCACCTTGGGGTACACCGCGCAGCACTTTGATCTGGCTAGTTGCATGGACACCGTTGCCAATCTTTATGGTGTTCGTGCTAAGGAGAGCTGATATGACATTTGTAAGATTCGGTGACACACCTCTCGCTTCTAAGGAGCTTACGATGTGTTTGTGCCCAACATTGTCAAAAGCACCGACAACGTCGAGGAAAACTATCGCACAGTCATTTTTCATTTTTTTTGCATCTTTTAATACCGCGTCGATGATCCTCGCGTTGACGTGCGTTCCCGGGAGGCCTTTTATAAAGCCTCTCTGACTCTTGTGGAAGGTGACCTGCTTTCTTAACTCGTAGTCCAGAACCTTCTCTATGATTCGGCGCACAATCGAGTATATGGTGATCGGTCTCCAGGTAGAGATATTGTTTATATCACCTTTGCCCTTATATATCAATATTGTGCGCCCTTGTCGAAGTGGTTCCGGAACATAGGCCACCTTCAGCATTATCTCTGCAATCGTTTTAATAATGCTTGATACGTCAAAATATTTTATTGTGCGGATCAGAACTCCATCAGGCCCCGGCGATGTGTCCATTGATGTTGATTTAATGGCTTTCCTGATAGCTTCTATCTCAATGGACAGCAAATCCGGCATCGGGGCACACTGTTCGTAATCCGCACGCCCGCAGAGATTTTCGTTCTCAAAGAGGTCTTTATAATGCCTCTCGATTTCGGCCATTTTTAGAGGACACCGTTTAGGAGCGTCGGCATTCATTACAGTTTGCACAACCTTTTTTCTTTTATTATAATAATTATATTGGGCAACCTCGTACTGATACTGCTCTTGCCGACGACTCCTGTCTACTTTGTTTGCCCTCTGCGGATTTGAGACTTGTCCAGCACCCTTGTCAGCCATTTTCATTTTATTTTTTTTCCTCATCCTATAAAATTTTACGGCTGGGTGCTGGGGACCTGGCAGTTCCGCATTAATGACTTTGAGGAACTTTAGGAACTTGCCTACGGCCTCATCAAAATCCACAGTATTCACCATTTCTTGCTTTAAAAGGTTCTTGAACGTAGTAGACCATTCAACAATGTCCTCTTTTATTTTTGATGACTCACCCTCTCCATTTCTAGGACCTATCACGTTCTTTACTATGCCCCTCAATGTATTATTATTCGCCTCCCTGGGATGTTTTTTTGCAATGTGGGTTCCGAGACCTCGTTCGCCCTTAAAAGAAAGCCCGCATATCGGACAAACTTTATCATCAGGGCGTAGAGCTTCATTTTGCCGCTCACTAAGTACCTCTGCGACATTCAGCGGATCATTTGGCAATCTGGGAAAGACATCATCTATCGACACCGTCTTTCCCAATACCACACCTTCTGTGTCAGGCCATTCCACTGTTACAACTTATTTATTTTGAGCTCCGCCGCATGCAAGTCAGCACACTGGTAGACTCTGACTTAGATGTGGCATCTTCCGCCTCGGGATTCTGGGCCGCACTAGGTGCGACAGTTACACATGTAAGGGGGGAATTAGGAGTGAGGAGGAGGGGGGTGGGGGGGATGGGATTGTGGGGGGGGGGAGGGAGTTTAGTGGAAATAATAGAGATGGTGGTTTATTGAGGGATGTTGGTTTGTTTGTTTGTTTGTATTTGGGTTTTTAGTGTTTTGGTTGGGGGTTTGTGGGGTGTGGGTTTTGTGTTTTGAGTGTTTTGAGGTTTTTTTTTGTGTATGAGTGATTTGTTTGGGAGGTGTTTGTTGGGTATTGTGTTTTGATGGTTTTTGGGTTTGGGTTTTGGGTTGGTATTGGGTTTTTGTTGGTTTGGGTTTTGAGTTTTTTGGGTTTTGAGTTGTTTGGGTTTTTGGGTTTTGAGTTTTTTTTGGGTTTTTGGATTTGGAGTTTTTGGGGTTTTGAGTTTTTTGGGGTTTTGAGTGTTTTGTTGGGAAGTTTTGGTGGGTTTTGGGTTTTTGATTGGTTAGGGTTTTTAGTGTTGAGTTTTTGATTTGTTTGTATTTATTGTTTTTGTGTTGGGAAGTTTGATGGTATTTATTATTGTGTTTTTTGGTTGTGTGTTGATTTTTTTTATTGTATATTATAAATTATCATATCATTTGATTAAATATTATATTAATTAATTTACAAAATATAGGATCATTAAATACTTTTAAAAAAAAGAAAAAATTCGGTTCAGCAATAGTAAAAAAAAAAAAAAAAAAAAAAGTCCACTTTAAAAATTTGATTTAAAACGTTCTATTAATAATAAATTATGATAGTAAAAACTTATTTTTTTCTTTTTATATTTTTGAGAGAAAGGGATCGAATATAAAAGTTACTTAAGTGTCAAATTAGTTGGGCTCCGTCGATGATTGTATTGATGAGACGACACTGACCTTGCTGAGCGGTGGAGGGGGCCGACAGGTTCCAGGCTGCAGAGTGATAATGCTCCGGTCCCACAAGTATTATCACTTTCGTTGCCTTCTGATTCTGGCTAATATCCTAGCTCAATTTTCATAAGATCTCATATGCAGGTCTTTAACATACAGCTCCGTCTAGGTGTGAAATTGCAGCTCAATTGGATGAAGAATACCCAATAATAGACGATGATGACGTTGAGCCGATCCTTTCTTTCTCACCGGCTCGAGCCGAACTCCGCGTCGATTGACAT